TGACCCATAGTTGAATGCTGTAAATCAGACAGGTAAGAAATTGGCATTCCATGCGATTTAAAAAGTATGCTTTCACTAGGGCTATAACACGCTGCTACCACTTTCAATTAGTTTCGATATTCTAGAAAATTAAAATGGCAGCTCTCTTCTAGATAATTATTTGACATTTCATGGAACTAGGGTTGCCACCTAATTAATTAAACCAAAATGATGCCAAAGAAGGCAGCAGAACACCTACGGAATTTTTAGTTGAAACCTATGCCATATTTTTAGGTTATTTTTATACCCTATTCAATACATTTATTTTCCTCTTTTTTACAAAATTCAAGGTGTTCTGCTAGTTTCGAACGAAGACAGCAAAAATAGTTGTTGGTTTTTTTAACAACTGCAGCAATTTTTGGGCTTTTATAATAAAAAACATTCCCCAAAAATAGCGATTTAAAAAAACTAAGGTGTCTTCATTCGAAGTCCAGACACCTATATATGGATCCCATTTTTTGAATATAGTGCTATGCTAGCTTCGTTTAAAGCTTGGGTTATTTTTTAAAAATAACAATTGTTTTCAAAAAGTTTTTATAATATATCAGAAGCCTAAAAATAGGCATCTTGATTTAAAAAAAAACGAGGCGCACATTTTTTTTAATATGATATAAAAATAGCACAAAAATTCCCTAGGTCCTCTGCTGCCTTCGTTGGCATTTCCAAACAAGAAATTTAAAAAGAGTAAAAGCAGTTATTACTGTACAACTTATCAAACCATGAAAAAACTTACTGAGCTGTGAAGTAAAGAAAACAAGATTAAAAAAATAGCAAATAAAACTATAAAAATAAAGACCTATAAAATTCTTTAAAAACAGAAAAAACAACCTAACATACTAATAATATTGTAAAAGTCAAAAACAAACACTTAAACTATGGAGAACAAGTTTAAAAACAATAAAAATAAAGACCTATAAAATACTTTAAAAACAGAAAATACAACTTAATATACTAATAATACTGTAAAAGTCAGAAACACACAGTTAAACTATTGAGAAAAAGTTTAAAAACTTAATAAATGAAAATAACAAAAATAAAACGTGTCTATTTTAGATCTGTTATAAACCCACTACTCAATTGATTTTCTATTAATAAATTCCTTTTTTCTAAAATATCATTTTTTCTTTTAAAATAATTTCATCAGTTTTTAGTTTATTTTTATAAAAAGCCCTCCTAAAATCTCCAATCTCTTTTAATATGAAGTTTTAAAAGTTTTTTTATTTTGGTATTTTCTTGGGGTATTATGCTGGGCATGGAAAAAACAAAATGACGACTGCATAAAGGAAACTGTCTTCATTTTCTTTGTTTTCAACCAGGTGGTGCAGTAGTCTTTGCGGATAAATTTTTTTTCTCCCGATGAATATTTTTCATTTTCCTCGTACTCAAAAACTTTTTTACTTCTTCCGGTTTTATTTGAATTGTCGATGAACTTTTTATAGTTCCTTTCTAAAACTTGCCAGCGGTTTTCGCAGTTGGAACCACTAATTACCATTCTTGTAATTTCCTCCATTTGTTTTCCAACCTCATCAAACATTTTTTTGAGGCTTTTTATTTTAAATGTGCCCATCTGCTTCCTATACTTTTTGTACAATTGTAATAATAACAATGTTGTTTGATGCGACCACTTAAAATTCCCATTGGTTTGAGTTTCCATGTCGGGGATAAATACAACAAACTTTGATAATTCTAAAAGCATAAAAAATTAGTTTTCAAATAACACAATTTTTTTCAAACCTACTTTTCTCCATCTCGGTTATTTTAACAGCAATGCTCATAAATTATTAATAATAATAATTTAACAAGAAAAAGAATTATAGCGCAGATAAAAAATATAGTTCTTTCCTTCTTTTTTGTATGGCCTCTTGCCTAACCAGCTAACCAACGGCAAGTTTCTTTTTCGATTGTACAAAGCCGTATAGTTACAAATACCAATTAAATTAGAACGGTTCAGTGTTGCGTTCGCGGTACATAAAAGCAAGAATTAGTAGTTCTGAATCAATTGTTACCGCGAACGAAGCTATTGCCAAAGGTCAATTCACAACCGTAAAGGCGGTTTTTCACTGCGCGAAAAGCGAAAGCGAATTCGCAAAAATTGAAGGAAGAAACTGTCAAAAAACTGTGCTTTTCACACAAGATTCGCTAAATATAGGGAATTTAATTTTTTAATAGTAGATTTCGTGTCAATTGTCAATAATATTGTTTAAAATTGTTGTTTTTATTATTTTGAATTTAACACAGCTTTTATTATTATTATTATTATTATTATTATTATTATTATTAATAGTATTATTATTATTAGTTGTTATTATTGTTAGTTATTATTTTCGTTCAATGGAGTTTTGGAATTATCAACGTCGCCGTTTGATTGCACTATGGTATCTTAAAAATCAAATAAAAAACAAGAAGACCAGGAGGTTTCATGTTCGAAAAATATTTCAAAATCGTGAACAGCAAGGAGATTACCATAACCTGGTTCAAGAAATTTATTTATTTATTTATTTATTAATGCATCCAACAGGCTTCATCAGCCCAATTACAGGAGTATATAATATTTAAAAATACAAAGTTTGAGAATACTTACTTAACTAAATTACATTCTGATTACCTAATTTGATACCAATCTGTAACATTGCTCACTATTGGTAAAATTTTAGAAAAAATATATCAACAGAATACTGATTGATTGACACTTCTACACATTGTAGTTAAAGGACTGTGAAAATGATGTGAATTTGGTACTTGAATATGAAATGTTATATTTGACCTTGACGTAATACGTGGGATATAAAAATTAAATTGAGACAGCAGAGACGACGAATCTATAGAATTATTAATTAATTTATAGATGAATATCAAATCTGCTATTTCTCTTCTTTTTCTCAGACTCACAAAACTGAATTCTTTTAACAATAAATTATAATCATAGTGACGAATAGGATAACGCCCATGTTTTTTAAAGTAAATAAATTTAAAAAATTTTCTTTGGACAGATTCTAATGGACTTATGTACTTTAAATGGTTAGTATTCCAAACACAACTGCAATACTCTAGTTTGCTACGAACTAGTGAAAAATAAACAGAGAAGATGGCTTCTAAAGATTTAAACTTTTTATAGTTTCTAATAACAAAACCCAAGATTTTTGTTGCCCTTTGTACAGTATTTTCAATGTGTTCCGAAAAAGTCAGTTTGCTGTCAAATAAGATACCTAAATATTTGTAATTGCGAAATGCTGTTATATGACACCGAGGAATATTTATTTAATTATTTTATAATGAACTCGAATGATTTTGAAATACTAGTAAATTTGGTAGTACCTAGCATAGCTAGGCAGTATCATACTACAGAACCAATTTCACCACATGAAAGGCTTGTTGTTCCTTTACGGTAATTTTGTGATTTTATTGTATTTTCAAAAACAATTAATTTTGTTGTTTAAGATATTTGGCTTCGGGTGACAGTATGGTTTTCTTGTCATTTGCATTTCGCATTGGAGTTAGCACAATTTCGAATATAATTTTTGAAACGTGTACTCCATTTGGGATGTTTTAAAAGATGATGTGTTACTAGTTCCATCAAAAAAGAAATGGCTGGTTATTGAAGCTAATTTTAGAAATCGATGGAATCTGCCGAACTGTGTTGGTGCTGTAGATGGAAAACACGTTAATATACAGGTACTTAAACCATCAAATTATACCAATGTATGTAGATAGATAATATCGTTATAATGTTTCAGGCACCTCCTAATAGTGGATCTGCTTATTATAATTACAAAGGTATCTTTGCTAATGGCAATGTGTGATTCAGATTATAAATTTACACTAATTGATATTGGAGCTACTGAGCGGCGGAGTGATAGAGGAATTTTTCGTCAAAGTGAATTTGGTCAACGGCTTTTAAATAATACACTTAATCTGCCAGCACCAGCAGCCGTTGATGATAATTTTGATGACTTTCCATATTATATAGTGGGGGATGAGGCCTTTCCTCTATGTACAAACATAATGCGACCCTACCCTGGTCATTTTTTATCATTAGAAAATCGAGTAATCAATTACAGGTAAACTACTATGTTACAGTGGAAATAATACATCAACTTTCATTTTTAGGCTTAGTAGAGCTAGAAGAACCATATAAAATGCATTTGGTATTTTAGCCTCAAAATGGCGTATTTTCCGGAAACCAATTATAGTCAAAATTTCAACAATAGAAAGTATAATTCAAGGTACTGTTTGTTTGCATAAATGGTTAAAGATTAAGGATAGTAATATTTCTGAAAGGAAATATTGTCATACTACGCTTGTAGACACAGAGGATGAAGATGGGAATACTGTAGAACGTGATTGAAGAAAACAGAAGACCCACCTAATAATTTATTAAGAATTAGACAGATTGGAGGTAATAACTACTCTAAAGATGCTGCTTCCATTAGGTCTTACTTACCGACTTATTTTATGTGTGAGGGGGCTATTGAAAATCAATGGAATAAATAAAGTTTGAAAAAAATGTTTTTATTTGATATATTTATATATCTATATTATATGTATCTAATAATTGGTAGACTTTCTGCAGCATCTCAATTTCAAAACTATGCCTTGCCTTTGCAGGAAGTTTATTATTTCCGCAACTCTTGCACAGGCTAAGTTTCCCTTATAAAGGTCAGTTTCCACTGTCACAGGTGGACGTTTAAGTGTATTTAAAATAGCTTCATTGATGGCAGAGTCAGCAGTTTCCTTTTCTAAAAAAAATGTATTATTGTATTGTTTGTACATGAAATTTGGAGAAAATTACCTTTTTTCGTTTCCTTAACTTTGTAAAAGATGGAGTCATATTCCCCTTAGAAATTGAACTGCCAGGTGTTTCAGACATATTTATTTCTACTTCTTCCTTTCTCAAGTTTGATTTGGTATTATAAAAATAATTTAATGAATTTCTTAAAAACTTTAAAATTTCATAATGTTTCCACGTTTTAATTTTCTTTTTTGTTCCGGATCCGCTGGGAATGTAACAATCCATCTCCGATTTTACTTTAATGAAAATATTCACGCATATTCTTCCACTTCTTCTGCATATCACTGATTGATGCAAAATGTCCTATTGAAAAAAAAACTATTAGCACATTTTTATGAATTTACTATAAACTAGTAAGTCACAGTAAATTATTACCTTCCATTTCTGTAAAAACTTGGAGCCATAACTTGTCTTTAATCGTTTTTCCTCTCTCTTCAATGGAAAGTCTATGATCCCATAGAGGTGGAGCCTTCTGCATCAAACTTGCTAATAATTCCTCTGTTGAAGTTTTTTCCTGTTGAGGTTCCACATACTTAAAGTGAGGACACAATTCTTCGTCAATCACTACCTCTTTGCAACAGTCATTGCAGTAAATCTGAAATATGTTTTTTGTTTAATTCAGAACATAATTAAAATGTAATCAACTACTAACAACGTCAGCGGGAATCGGATCCATAACGACTTTTTTATTACCGATTTAATAAACAACTTAACTTTAATCTAATAGACAACTTAACTTTAGTCGAATAAACACCTTACTTTAATCTTATAAACAACTTAACTTTAATCTAATAAACAATTTAACTTTAATTTTATAAACAATTTAACTTAATCTATAATAACAACTTAATAAATTATCTATAATAACGAGTATTTAATTATTAATTAGAATATAGACTATCAAATTTCTCTCAACAGTAAATAAACACGTTAAATTAAACGAATAACAAAAGAAATTAAACAGCATGTCAACTGTCCAACCCAACATAAAACACCAAAACTGTCAGATTTTTCAACGAATTCGCAAAAAATTTGGAAGTAATCTTACTTTCCCGCCCACCAAAATTTAAATAAAGCGAATTCGCAAAATTTTGATTTCAAACTACCTTGAACATATTTGAACCAATCAGGACACAGAACACAATTATTTTGCGAATTCGCTTTCGCTTTTCGCGCAGTGAGAAACCGTCTTAACAATCTACACATGCATTCGAGATTCGAATTCGGGCGGATTCGGAAATTAAAGCTTAAATTATGTTCAACCACTAGCAATGAACTTTTAAGATATGCGCTTACAACGTAAATAGTTTCTTGCTTACTAGACGATTGCAACACTTCCTGTTTTTGTTCATATTCTTTATAAACTTCCACAATCATATCATTTTCCATACTTGCGCTAGCAGTTCCCGGCATAATGGACGAAAAATGTTTTTTCAATATGCTAAATACAGAGACGAAGGAAACTATCAATAGGTATTACGATTTTGATACTTTAGTTATTTTTTTTTTATAGACATTGGATAAACATTTGGTTAAAATAAAGTAATTATTGACTTCAGACTTGTGATTCTTTAGATCAAAAAAAGTTTGACTAAATCCCTTGTTGACACCTTTGCCAAATTGACCTCTTAAGTCCTCTCATTTTGTCCTTAAATACCTAAATTTTAAAAAATTGTCTAATAACTGTGTAAAGTTTATGGCTCTGTATATTACTAACTTAATAAAGCAGGATTTGCTTTTGCCACTTAAAAGTGTCACCCACTAATTTTTAACAAATTAATAAGTTTTTGATGTTACTTTGTTTTCAAACCAAGTTTGCGCTGTTATATTTCCAATGACAATTTCTATTTAAACATTTTGACTCGATTAAATGTAACATACTGTAAAATAATAAATGCAAATGTTTTTTAGAACATTAAATATTTTTCGAATTATTGTAGTAGCTTTTTTGCTAGATAGTTGTATTTTATGTAAAAGGCCGCTTTTAATAGATGTGCCTTCACGTAAGAGGCCACTATTAACATATGCGTCTTTAGGCTAGAAGCCACTGGCAACAATTGTTCTTGAATGTAACATACCACGACATAAGGCGTTAAATTGAGGTTATATAATAAACGGGGCCGAGATCACGAGACTTGATATTAGATTGAAAGTCGCCATATTTGTTCGACAATCGAAAAGATACATTCATGAGACTCGTTTGATCGAAATTACTCGATAGTTTAAAAGGTATCGAATTAGGTTAGGTATTCAAAATCGTGTTTTCTTGTTTGCCGTTTGTCTGTGAAAGCTTTGAAAAATTACTGTTATTTATTGTATTTTTATTACTGTTGTATTGTTATCGATTTTTATATTACTGTTTTTTGTTATTAAAAATTTCAAGAATGTATCCTGTAGTGTGGAATATTCTTGAGAGAAATAAAACACACCTGGAAAATATAATCTTGCTAGGAGAAGACAAATGCTGACATACCAACAGGATGCTTTTTTACTTCCCAATGCTAGATTTATTAAATTGTTTCGACTCAGTAAACGTTTAGTTGCAGAATTAATAGAAATGGTGAGAACAAATCTGCCCAAAATAATGGTTAGGGCAGTTTCTGTAGAAAGCATGGTTTTGTGTACCTTAAGAATCTATGCTACTGGATCTTACCAAAGATGTCTTGAGGAAGAATATAATTTAGGTATGGTACAAAGTACAGTGCACAAATATGTACATATGGTCAGTGACATAATTAATGACCACATTGTTGGACAAAAAATTAAATTTTCTGTAACCGAAGCAGAAAGAGACAGCACCATAGGAGCAGTAGATGGAAGTCATATTGCCATATTAAAGCCAAGTGCTGATGAACATAACTATATTAATAGAAAAGGGTACCATTCTATAAATTGTCAGACAGTTGAAGATAAGAAATATTTTTGCTAATTTTGGAGATGCAACACATGATAGTTTCATTTGGAGAAGCTCTTCCATAGATGTTTATTCAAGAACCATTTATACCAATGAAAGAAGTTGGCTGATTGGGGACTCTTTAACTATATCTCATTACTCCATTTAGAAATCCAGCAAATCGAGCAGAAGAAAGGTTTAATGCAGCACGCACCTAGTATAGAAACTGTGTGGAAAGAACAATAGGTATATTAAAAACAAGATTTAGATGTTTGCTTCGTGAGCGAACAGCCAGATATGACCCATATTTTGTGTGTAAATTTATAAAGGTATGTGCTACCCTTCACAATATGTGCATAGAGGATAATTTGGAAATTTTATTCCAAGAGGTGTCTCAAGAGGACTTTGATGGTATTGATGTAGCCGATGTAAACAATGTGGCTGAATAACAAGCAGCAACAGAGTTTATTTTAGAAAATTATTTTAGATAGTGGAAAAAAAACTTGCATTTTTTTTTGTAACTTTAGTGAATTGATGGCAATGTTGTGATAAAACTGCTGTCAGATCCATCTATTGTGTCCCACTTATTTTAAATATCATTAGATTTTCTATGCAAAGAATGAAGCAAAATAGCATAAGTCGTTACTGTCAGATGTTTAACAGACTGTGGATTTATCTAATAGCAGTTGTGTATGTAATTGAAGGTTTCAGTTAGACGAGATAGTGCTCTGACCATCTCAAATTGGTATTACAATTCAATGTTAGAGGAAGTTTAAAAACTAGGTTCGCCAGTATTTAGTTAAAATTTACCTCTATAGTTTAACGAATGCTGACTATAAAGTCAACCATACATATATTTGGTAAACCCAACTATGTCAAATTGACAACTGAACAAGTTATAATAAAAAAATTTATAGCTTTAATCATTTTTGAATTTTTAACTTTACCACCCTGTATTTCGGAGTAACATTTTACCTAAGCATGTTTCGTTTAATTGTTATTTTTAATCAAAGAATCTTCAGTTGCTCTATGTCCCATTCTTAATGGAACAAAGAACATAATGTGAAAGTATGTGTTTTATTAAAAAAAAAATCAAGTTTTATATTGTGCCACCATGTATAATCAAAAGGAATCTTAAAATGCTAGTATAGTTAGTATACACTACAAATTTTGTTTAAAATATTTTTGATATTTTTAATAATTATTATTATTCTGCTCTGCCACACTCTATAGACCATATAGCAGGTACACAAAATATTTATGTTCGCTATTTATTTTTATTTTCAGCAAGTTTTTTTAGAGAACTTGATATTTCTCCTAAATTATTTGTTAGTGTGTCCTTAATTTCTTTTAAAACATCAATTGTATCACAATAAGCATCTTCCATAGCTAAATTCTTTTTAACGTTTTTTTTGTCGAGTATGAATGGTCCAAGTTTTGCATACTTTTCTTGAAGACTGCTGTTGAGGTTTGCTGTGATGTGGGACAATATGAGGATTTTTGAAAATCTTTAGATTTTTGCTGTAACTTCTTGACTACAGATTTTGGAGAAGAAATGATCCTATATGAAACAGAGTCACTACTAAAATCAGAAAAACTCTGAGTTTGTAAATACTGCGACTTTAATACATTAGCTGAGTTTATGGCATTCTCTAAATCATCAGGTGAAATGTGTGTAGTTTCATTAATAGTTGGAGGCATGAACTGATTATTTATTCGATCATTCTTTTGTAATGGTAAGAATTCATTTTCTTTGGAAAATGGCAACTAAAATTAGATTTTGTAAATAATTCGCTTACAAAAAAACTTAAACCACTGTTAACTTACACTAACTTCAGGCACATTAAGTCCTGTGAAGGTTGAACCTAACAGCTGCAAAGCCCTCATTTCAAATGGGATTAATATTTTTATACTTTCTAAGCCACCTCCAGTCTTAGATTGATCTTTTTTATATCCGAAGCTTCCTTTTTCAAGTTATACTTCATATCAGTCCATGTCTACAAAATGCATTTTTTTATTACAATAACTACTGCTTAGGATAAAAGAAAATAAGGATATTACAATAAAATATACTTTATGTATATTAATTTTGAAGAGTTTATATCTGTGTGCATAAAGGCTTAACTAGTAGCTGCAACTTACTAACTCGCTAATGTATGCTATATCTGATGTCTAGACGTCCGAGGTGACAGCGACAGCTTCAACTTGATTAAGAATATTTTTTAATTCTGTAATGAATGCAATATTTTGGTAAATTTTATTATTTTCTTGCAAATATTGCATTTTGCAATTTTGCTGTCACTTTGATTTTTTGTATTTTCGGTTTGACCGCTGTTTTGACATTGACAGTATTGACACATTTTTGTTCATTTCATTTTTATTTCTTTAGATCGTGGCGTGGCAATCGCAGTATTTATATATTTCACTGGATTTTTTTTTTAATATGGAACAAGATTTTGGCAGAAGCGGATGATGATAATATAAAGTTCATTATACTAAATAATATTTTGGGAAATGATAAAGAACAACATGGTTTAAATTTAATTTTTTTTTAGGAAATGGGGGATGAGGAAGGACGAAATTAGTTTCGTTTTGAGAGAAATTATATTGAATTATTAGTTCAAGTTCTTGGGATTTCTAACAAAAATATTACTTCCAGGTAATTAATTGCCTTAGTTACAAGTTATCTTGAACACATTTTTCAAATATTTTATGTCTGTACTAAATTAAATATATTGTTGTTTAAGGTATTATTGGAATGTGCCTTTTTTAGGGCGGCTAGCATATCCCAACCGATTAAGAGACCTAAAACATATATTTGGCATTATCTTCTTAAACTTTAAGTGAAGTAATAAATTACTTGACAAACTTCATAGGTTCACTTATAAAGTGTAACGAGAAAAATAAATAAATAAATGTGGAGGAAATAAAAAGAAAAAACTGTTACCTGATAGAAGAACACAAACACAAGTTTTTTTTTATTATCAAACGCAGTAAAGATCGGAAAATCCACAGCAATAGCAAATCAGAAGATTTCCCAGCTCCGGAAAGAAATTCCTGATTCCCATCACCAAGATAGGACGAAAATTCCAGGCCAACTAAATATATCGTGAGTGCGGTCAAAAACACTACGGACCCAGGTAGCTATAAACGTTTTATTATAAAAATACGATCGTATTTTCGCATAGATAGAGAAAGATCTTAAATAAATTATATAAATAAACGACAATTTGTGAAAATAATACTCAATTGTTGAGTACGGTGTGGCATTTAACGGATGCCTCACTGCTTGTCTTCTTTGAGACGGCGAGGCATCAATATGATGCCACAGTCAGAAAATTAGCAAGGACGGCGTGGTTTCGTAGTACGTCTCGATATAATGCTTGTTCTTAGCTGTCTATAGTAATAGAAAAGTTTAGCTGGCCTTCAAAATAAGAGACATATCCTGTGTCATAAAGGTTTATTTTATTTGTTTTAAAAAATA